AATGAAAACCCTAATGGGCCCTTACGAGCTAATGATATACAGAAAATAGGAGAATGTTGCCATCAACTAACCGCATTTACATATCCGAGTTAAAAAACACCTTCACATGGCGTTCAATCGTAACATTGCACGGAATGCTAAGTTCCCGACCCCCTCCATGACCCCTTGACACCTCTAAATTACCCAAAATGGGTAATTTCATTCCCTATGAGAGCTACTATTCAACACGTTGATCTTCTGTCATTCTCATGGTTTACTTCTATTATATCTATAGACATTTGTAAGGATAATCTCATTTAATCAAGAATATTTGATTACTTCCATCAATTCCAGGTAGTGTTCTATATTCGATGCTGATATCTGCACCATTGGGTACCTTTTCGAAGAGTATCGGTGTTGTTTTTGGTACTGCTGCGTTGGTTGTTTGTGGTGTGGGTGCAATCCATGCCACCTACTCATGGACAATGATGTGTCATCAGAAGGCAGATGACAAATTCATGATTGGAAATTTATCAACGCTCGTTTGATCGAATATTGTATCCGTATGCAAATGTTGATCTCAGATGTCATTATTGAATGAATGTATATCTCAAACAATTGAATTCATATCCTCTTCAGTTATTCAGCACTCATCGTACGCTATTCACTACTTCTACGAAACATCCCTTGTAAATATCGTTTTGTGCATATCCGATCATGTATTTATAATCACAATATTGTGTTATATGTTTTCGTTCAGATGATTTCGATGAAATTATATTTTTTAAATCATTTTTCTGTACAAACTATAAAACTTCTGCTTTAAAAGTTTCATGATCTTAAAAGCAACGTTCAAAGTCGCACGTGAACCAACAAAATGACATTCAAATGATCAGATAAACGCCACCATGCTGCAGAAATCCACATATTTAATGGACTAAATCCCCTTTTCAATGAACCAAAATGGAGCAAAATTTCGTCGCATTATACTTGTGACCATACAGAATCAATTGTTTCACTTCATGATCATTTAGGTTCCGACAGATCATTAACTTTCGAATGTAACTTGTATGGAGTGGAAATTCTTTTATACAAACATGACGAAATTTAATAGAACAAAAATATCAATTATATTCCCAACCTGACAACAACATCAACGTATTACATTTGAAACAAGTAACAGAAATAAGCAAACGAATAATGAATATTGCAATGAGGATCCATCAAACAAAGAATTGTCTGTCAATGAATGTGATCATATGTGAATCGCTTCCAGTGATAACACCATCTGAGCAAACATCAATACTGTTCAATGGCAATGGTTCATCCATCAGAATCGCAACGTTCGCATTCGAAAACGGTGTGATTCTTGAGATTGAGGTACTGCCGCCTCCTTGACGTCTGAAATGATAACTCTCTTAGATACATTAAGCTGCTTCTTTTAGTTTCTCTCATGCCCTTCCAATTGCTCACGCCTAGTGAATATCGGTGTGATTCTTGAGATTGAGGATTCCTCATCAACTACATTTAAAACGATTCAGGACGTTTAATGATTTTACTCACACAAACAATACTACGACCAAAAGAAACAATTTTTATCAAGACTGCAAATCGAAACTATCGAAACGAAAGCAATTCGGAGGATAACTCACTGAAGAACTCGTTGTTGCGTGGCATCCAGATGTATTAAAACACCTTCACTTGAAACACAATAAATGTTGTCTGGATAACTTGGATGGAATCTTATCTGTAAGATAATGTAATGACACTGAATTCGCGATGTTTTCTTATTTCTGATTTAAAAAATCCACAGTTCATATCGACTGCAACCTGACATACGCAAACGACAATATTTATTACAAATTCTAATTAAATACCCTACTTCTAAATACTAAACAATAGAACCGACCTCATTAATACATCCAACTGAAAACGGTAATGAAATCGGTGCCATGCATTCTGTCGTCACTCTCGTATCCATGAAACCAATGATACCATCTTCAGTGCCAAAACTGATCTGAAATTGATTTCAACAAATCGCACCCACAACTGCAATTATTCCCATACTAAAGTGCTGTCAGAAATGAAGCAAAATTACCAATTGACTATCAGCCGGGTGTGCCGCAACAGTCATTATTGCCGATTTCGTGTCTGTTGGATGAAAGACAAGTGATGGCTTCATGATCGACTGCGCTGTGTCGGATGATGATAAAGATGACGACTGAGAGCAGTCTCGCAGATCCCATAAATAGATTCGACCACATAGATGCGTTGATACCAGAAGATTTGAGGTGAGCATTACGAGTGAACGAACACTGGACATTTGCTAAACACACAATTCATCACCTACCATTACCGCTTCAGAAGACTCATTTTCAAAACACACAAAATATCCCTATACCGCATAAATATACCACTTTTTTTTGTATACCATATACCAGTAAATTTCTCATCTCTAAATACATCATTTTAGGCAAATGAACGGAATATCCAATGAAACAATCAAACTGAAGATCACAATATGAAGAGTTTAAAAAATGTTAATTGTTCATTTGGTATCAAAACAGATCTCATCGACAAATCAAAGGATTGAACTGCCCAAAACAAACAAATCATAAGAACAATGAAATAATAATCTAACGGACCGAAGCAATAACAAACGGTTGAGATGCTGTACCATTCTGGCTGAGATCAAACAAAACAATCGAGCCATCGGCACCTCCGGACACCAAACGTTGCTCGAAAGCTGCCACAGCATTTGCAGCACAACGTCGATGAACACTGCGGAACGTTTGTTGCACGTTCAACTCGTCACTGTCCGCATCGATCACCAACACATCACCATTATTCAACGCCACACCAATACTGCTCGAGCCACAATTTCTGAAAAAATTCATTTCATATCAGCGAATTTGTGAATGTGATTCAGCAGGTCACTTGAAAAGTTTTGATGTTAGAACAGAAATATCAGACTCCAACTTTGAATTGTTGTGCTTAAAAGCATGTTAATTAATAGAACACGAAACATTTGTGAATTCATTATAGAATTCATTTGAAATTCACTACAATTTCATAGTTCCTGAAGAATAATTAACATTCCATCTCTGAATAATGACATTCCTCATGAATAATGAATAAGAAAATGCTCATATTCATGAGTACAATCAGCGTTGAATATCTAATGAATACTCCATTTCACCGTGCAAAATGCATTGAATAGTTTGCAGTTTATACGGATACATTATAATCTTCTGAGCAGAAAGATTTTAATGTATCCTTACAAAGAGTCGCCTTTTAAGACATATTCAGAAGTATTGCTTAACAAAAGAAATTAACAGAAAACTTACACAATATCATTCACATCGTCTTCAACACTCAATTGAAAATCCCGGTTGAATGAATCGCCACCTGCTGAGACTGCAAAAAAAGACCACTGATTATCTCTTTCGTACTACCCACTAGACAAGGATTTGTTATGGAAAGCGAACAATTTTCTGAAGTCAGAATCTTTTTGCGGTGAAAGATAAGATTATATAAAGATAAAAATCCTTCCATATTATGGATGTATCAATTGACCTTGTGGAATCGACCAAAGTGTTAGCTTGTTATCTGCAGATTCGTATGTGCCACTGACGAAGATTTTCTGCCGTGCTTCTGGATTAATCCAACGAACTTTTGAGATTTTTCCACCACCCGACTGCGTGCGTCTTTCATTCGACGACTGATTCTGCTCGTATTCCATCATCTTCTTAAATGAAGAAACTTTCAAAAACAACTGAATCCTATTGATACGTCAAAACTTGAAACAGTTCTTCAATGATTCAGCACCTATTGATAGCAAATATTCAAAAGTGCGCACATTTGAGTCACTCTCTGCTTAGGCATATTTCATATGTCCTAACGATAAGACTGTGTGAATTCCTCAACTGTGCCCGAACATGTTCCTTTCCAACAATACTAGTTGCACACTCACTTCATCTTTCAGTTATACTTCCCGTAACTCTGACAGTACCAATGATATTAGTACCCCATTCGGTTTCGACGAAAACTTTCTTTCGCGAACGTGACGAAATTTTGCTCGAAACCGAGCGATGTACCAATACCATTGATATGGCAAGCCTCAGCCACTCTATAATTTAGTTTGTATCTAATTATCTATCGCATCATTCTAACATTACAGTATCATCAAATATTGACACTTCAGTACAACCAATTTGAACATTTGATTGATTAGCGATCTCAAGAACAAAGTGATTCTTCAGTAAGAGGATGAGCGCAGATTCATCGAAACCAATCTCTAAGTTATCACCTCTGTAGAAAATGACCCCTCACCTGCCATCCTCTGCATTATCTTCATATCTATTTCTGGAATCCTCATCGGATTTCCATTCGCTCTTCAACACCAAAATCAATACAAACTTCTAGATGAAATCAAATCCTTCCTCACTCTCTCCCTGTTCAAATATTTTTGCTATGGCTAACCAAGACCACTGTGGACAATCAATGCACACAAACTGTCTCGATCTCGCTATGGTACTTTGCATGATTCCTTTTGCAACAAACATAACAAACAACTTTCGAAATAAAATATAATTTTATTGAGAAATACTGACTGAACTAGAAATTGTGAAGCATTAGGATATTTGCGATAAAACGACAGATAACAGAGGAAACAGATTTTTTGAATTAAGGATATCATTCATCACCGCTCCAAAATCTAAACAACAATAGAATATCCAGGGAAGAAATTATAACAGCAGAAATTCTTTCGCTTAACCAGTTTTAAACCATATTACACGTACCTTCAACACGATAACATATTCAACATTTCGATCATTTACAACATGTACCTAATGATAAATCAGAGATCTAATACATAAAGAACTTTAAAGATTCATACTTGATAACAAATCAGAAGATAAAATATAATGATAACTTAAACAGTGTAGCCTAAATGGTGAAATAGCACGAAACGACTAAGGAAAATAACTGAAAAGTTCAGCATATAAAAAGACCCGAACGGAACATTGTAACAATAAGCAACATTGACAACAATTAATTCAAATTAACAAAAGCGACCGAATAGTCACTGTAACCACCGGGTAACATTGGCAACGAAACAATTCAATGGGAGATAATGGAAGCGGGATGTTTGAATGAAGAAATAAAAAGAAATAAAAATTCCGATTCGGCCACGTATTTGCACCGCAGCTTTCTAGGCAAAAGTTGATCCATTGAATGCCATCGTTGTCGGGTCAATGTCCACGAAGCTGATGTACATTCTGCAATGGAAAACTAATCAATTTGTGCCATTTACAACACGACAACCGCATGGATTTTCACTTAAACAATACGGAAACATACAAAAAAGTCGAATCAAAAGACACATCAAAAGCAAAATTTATTACTATCAATAACGAAGAAAGAAGTACCTATTTCCGGGGATACCCAAAGCTTCTTTGATGTGTTTGTAGAGTTTCTCAGCATGTGCATTATTACGAGCACCACCAACAGCGCCAATCGATTCCAATGTGCAAATCGCACACGGATCTGTGCTTCCACCGAACGTCATCTGTTGACCAGGGTTGATGCGGGTGGCCACATACTAAAAACCTTCACATCAGTCATTCCGACCTAACGTCAATCAAAAATTTCACCAATATATTCGAAAAATCTCAAAAAATCTCCTCTTAACAGCTCCAACAAAATCAAAACTTACACTCTCTGGCTTGCTCAACGCTTTAGCGATAAGAGCAGAAGTCTTCTTCAAGAAATCTGCTGGTACCTTATCGGCTGCTACGTTCGTATTGATTGTGAAGCACGGCATATTGCGCTACTGTTCAAAACAGAGATGCTGTGAGAGACCCAAAATTCACGCTTAAATATCACAAATTTTCAGAGTTTTTTCAAAAATTTATCAATTCATTAACAAGCAATGAAACACGACGTCAACAAGAAACGAGAGATCCCGACAATGAGGAAAATCACGACAGAATGACTCACGAATAAGTTTCAAAATATACGTTCTAAACAAACCAGCTTCGCATTATGTAATGATCAATATAAGTCTCCATTTTCAGAGAATGTTATGAAAATTTTTGGAAAACATCAAGTTTCTCAGCTTCTTCAAACACGACTCTACAGGAGAAGAACATAAAGCGGTAAGGAGAATACGATACGCGACAAGCAAGTTTGATACACTAGACGTAAACAACATCATAAGCATAACTTCATTCTTCGATAAAACAATGCACTGTATAATAATGTGATAAAACACGACAAAATAAACCAAAAAATAAAATAAACACAACATTACTACACCCACAATACGAATATTGCACATCACGAGCATAGCAAAACACCTTTCATGTGCACATTGATGCAATTCAATGCGAAAACAAGACTGAATAAACCAGCGAATAACTGAAGAGTACACAGCATTTTGCACACTACCACCACTGCATCACAACCAATGCAGCGTTCTCAATCGTAAATGCAAACAAATAGGAAAAATTCTAGCCGTCACTGCTAGAAAAAAAAACTCCAACAACATCTGCAAAAGAGAAATCAATAGATGGGCGGGCGTGTAAGAACACTCAAGTGTACCAGAGACACGATTTGAAAGCAAGATGATACGTGAAATCCTGCTATAAGGCAGACATCCACATCGTATGGCATTCTGAAAATTTATTCAAAGTAAACCCAAAGGATGGGTTCACCAATAATAAGGTTTATTTCAACTTGTTGAGTCAGAATGCATCACGGTATAGTGCCAGTGTACAGTCAAGCATCTACTACAACACTTCGGTGAACATTCACGAATATTTACGATTTGCGACACTTCATCATTCGTTCAACTTCTTTGCTTTATTATCTTTTTGCCAGCACATTGGACATCCGAATGCAGCAATCCATTGAGAGATAAACGAGCCGAGTTGCCAAATCCCATTAGCAACATCCGCACGAAACATATTGTGAATGTAACATCAAAAAGATATCTCGAATAAAAAGAGTCGGAATATTTACTGTTGATTAGAAATGTTTGTTAAAAGCAATGTTAGCCAATGACAGTACAAACACGAATGGAAACACGGAATGAAATCTGTGGCCAGATAAGTTGATATAGTGTAGTTTGCAAAACTATACCAGATTACATAAAATCTCACTATTAGCTTAATGGATTTGATGGATTTCTTGCACTTGAACGGTTGTGTGGCAACTTATTCTGTACATATCAATTCTATTGTAAATGTCAAAGTAACAAGAATTTGAAGTGAACAAATGAATAGAGTGAAGATTCAGAAGATGAATATGAATGAGAG